TATTTTTTTTTGGAAACTAACCTTTTTATCTTTGATTTTCATCTACCAAAGATTTGATTTGCAAATTACAAAATGCATAATTAACCCTTTTATATATGGGAAATTGGACTCTATATTACTCACTGACTCTATATTTAATTATCTAACATCAAACAAAATAAAATTTAGTAACTAACATTTCAATTACTTGAGATTCCAATTTTACCCTTAATGTAGTTATGGTAAATGATCTCATATCTCATTTTCATTATTATTTCATTTAATACATTTTTTCTATATCAATTTTCTTCTNTCTCATGTCCAAAAATAATTAAAGATAACTAATATTTTTATGTTTTGCATTATTAGAAAAAACAAAAACTAANNGTATAGACTTGTTAACAAAAANAAATGTATAGACTTTTTATTTCTATTAATTACCTAATTATATATTTATATATGTAGTTAACTATGTATCTAAATATACTTATCTANACTTTTCATTTTTATTAACTATATAATTAACTATATACCNAAATATATACTTAATTTTCGGTCCTTAATTTTCTTCACAAACAGTCAAATATACTTGTTATAATTACAAATAGTTCACTATTATCTACTCTTTTTTTTAAATGAGTATATAGTTAGATATATAACTAACTATTTTTAAATATAATTATTTATATANATTTATGTGTAGTTAACTATATACCCACATATAATTATTTATAGAGTTAATTATGTTCACAAATAGTCAACTATACTAGTTATATTTACGAATTGTTCACTATTATCTAGAGANTCAGAAATATAACTAACTATATTTAAATATAGTTAGTTATATATTCACGTATAGTTAGCTATATAGAAACATATAGTTGTCTATATAGTTAACTTTATTCACAAACAATCAACTATATTTGTTATATCCACAAATAGTCATTATTCTATATATAGTTAAATATATTCACAAATAGTTTACTATTATGCATTTTCAATGTATGAAACTTATAATTCATTATATCAAATAAATATTTAATTATATTAAAATAAATTTCACTATTTTTATTTAAATAGAGAAATAGTTCACTATTTATGTGAAATAGTTCGCTATTTATTTCAATGAGATATATAGTTCACTATATATTTTATATATTCAAACTTTTCAACAATAATCAGTTACAAAAAAAACGAAAAATATAGAAAAAGAAGACGAAAAAGAAATGTGTTTTTATATTTGTCAACTTTATGTTTATTTTTAGAAAAACTATTATTTTTTTAATTAAGAGAGAATTTTGCATTAAATGTCCATTAAGATGACAACTTTAATTAAATTTATTGTAAGAGTAAATTAGTCAAAATTAATTTTTCTTTGCTAGTTACTAAATTAACAAATTACACATGTTAGTTTATCAATTTATATGTTCAAACATGATATTGAACTAATTAACCCTTTATATATTGCATTATCTTATATATATAAAAGAATCTATAATACCGAAGATTTGATTTGAATTATCTTTAAAAAACTAAAATCTATAATTTTGAAACTAAAAGATTTGATGATATTTTTAAAAAAATTTGAATTACCTAAAAGCTCCATATATAGAAGACTACTTGAAACTTTCGGAAAAGTTTAGAATAACGTTTCTGATA